CAAGAGAATATGGCATAAAAATTGTTGAGTCTGAGAGCAGCTTGAGCTATACAACAAGTTCCATACTAGCTTAGGATATGTAGTAAAAGCCTGCCTCAAAACACAAATAAATAAATAAATAAATAAATAAATAAATAAATAAATAAATAAATAAATAAATAAATGGGTAAGTGGGTGGGTGAGTTAAATAAAATGTAACCTCAGGAGCTGGCAAGGTGGCTAACTGTAAAGGTACTTGCCACCAAACCTGACAAAAGTAAATTCAATTCCTGAATCTACAAAACCAACTTTCAAACGTTGTACTGACTTCTACATTGCCCATGTATAGGCATGTGCACATATGTACACCTACACACACACAATAATGTAAAATAAATAAATAACTCCAGCAAATAGAAGGCAGGTTCAAGAAGGCTCTAAAATGTTAAGAAAAGGGGTTTCAGAGGAAGTGGGAGGGGGATGGGAAGAAGAGATGGAAGGGAGGAATATGGCCAACATACATTACATACGTAAATGAAAATGTCAAGAAATAATTTTTTTAATTTTTTTATGGGCATTTATGGATATTTTACCTGCATGTATATCTGTGTAAGTATGTCAGATCTTGAAGTTACAAACAGTTGTGAACTGCCAAGTGGGTGCTGGAATTTGAACCCAGGTCCTCTGGAAAAGCAGTCAGTGCTCCTAACCACTGAGCCATCTCTCAAGCCCCTTAAAAATATTTTTAAAAGAAGGTCTGGGCTAAAGAGATGGCTCTGCATGTAGAGGTACTTGCTGAGCGATCCTAGAGAACTGAGTTCAATTCCTGAATACCATATAAAGATGGAAGGAAAGAACTGACTCAACAAAGTTGTTCTTTGACCTCTTCAAATGGACACCATGACACAGACATACCATGCACACACACGATCCATGGCACACACATACACCACACACACACCATGCACACACATGATAATTTATCACTTACCTAAATGATTCTTAAAAAGATGACTTAAAGGTGGGACAGCCTAGGTCACAGCACTAGCTTGTCTCAAAAAATTTATAATCACAAATCCAATGCTAGTCTAAACTACAAAGCAAGATCCTTGCTCAAAAACAAAAAAAAAAAAAAACAGCTTGGGCTAGGAAGATGATTCAGTGGATAAGAATGCTTGCTGCACAAGAATAAAGATCTTAGTTCAAATTCCTAGAACTCACATTTTCAAAAAAGTCAGGTGTGGTTGTACCCTATCTGTAACCTTAATGCTTGAGGAAGGGAGAAGTGAAACCACAGTCACTGGGGATTAGTTGGCTACATACATGTTTATAACACACACACACACACACACACACACACACACACACGAGAGAGAGAGAGAGAGAGAGAGAGAGAGAGAGAGAGAGAGAACATTACTAAGTAAATAACTGTTCCTTTATTGGGGGGGGGGGCACAGGCGGTGTTGAGACAGTGTATAGCTCTAGCTATACTGGAACTCACTCTGTAGACCACCAAGCTGGCCTCAAACCCAGAGATCCACCAGTCTAACTCACAGAGATGTGCCTGCCTCTGCCTCCCAAGTGCTAGGATTAAAGTTGGGTGCCACCATGACTATAACTAAGTATTTCTTAAAGACTCAGAATAAAGCCAGGAGGTAGTGGTGCTTGTCTTTAATCCCAGCACTCAGAGGCTGAGGCAGGCAGATCTCTGTGAGTTTGAGACCAGCCTGATCTTCAAAGAGAGTTTCAGGACAGTCTCCAAACCTACATAGAAACCTTGTCTTGAAAAACCAAAAAAAAAAAAAAAAAAAAAAAAAAAAAGACTAACTTCATTGAAGACAATAGGACTATCATTACAACCGAAAATACTTATATAAGTATGGTGAGAATAAAAAGGGTTGCTTTTTAACAATTTTTCTCACACTACAACTTACTCTAATTATCTCTTTTATTCAAGGGACAGAGCTTTTTAAAAGCTTTTTTTTTTTTTTTTGAGACAGGGTCTCCCCATATAACCCAGAATGGCCTCAAACTTTTGACATTCCTACCTCAGCCTCCTAAATGCTAGAATTAAAGGTGAGTGCTACCTATATTTTTCCCCCGACTGTCTTACTAGGATACTGTGTGTTCCAGGCTAGCCTTAAACTCACACCAATCCTCCTTCCTTGGCCTTGCAAATGCTGTGATCACACACACCTGCCATAGTCTCTATTTAAAATCTTTCAAGTCACTTATCAGTTGTTTATATGGCTTTATTAACTGAGGATTTCATATAAAATCTTTAAAAAAAAAAAAAACCCTTACAAAATAGAATCAACATGAACAAGTAATGATAGTATCTCTGCTTCTATAACACTGTAAAGTATGTGTTTAAAATTATGTACACATAAAATCTTGACATTATTTAAAAAAAATGCTTTAATCCCTAATCCCAGCACTTGGGAAGCAGAGACAGGCAGATCTCTGTGAGCTAAAGGCCAGACAAGGGGATACACAGAGAAACCCTATCTCAACACAAAAAAGCAGTAAGTTATAAGTTAGTTAAAATTTTAAACTTTCACATTTTCTTTTTCTATGTTTTGAAGTAGGGTCTCATGCATCCCTGGGCAGCCTGGAACTCACTATCTAGTCCAGGCAGCCTCAAATTCACAAGATTCACCTGCCTCTGCCTCCCTAGAAGTGGCATCTCACCCAGCAAATGTGAACTGTTAAAATAAAAAGACAAGCTACACAATGGAGTTGACAAATTTTAGGAAATATTCTAACAACTCAAACTCTCTTTAAAAACTGGCAGTGGGGCATGGGAGAGGGGAAGCATATCTGTTCCCAACATTTGGGAAATGGAAGCAGGAAGATTGGGAGTTAAAGGTCATCCTCAAACTACATAGGCCATAGTTCAAGGCCAACCTATACAACACACACACATAATAAGTACATGCTGTCTGCCATTTATTAGAAAAATGCATGTCACTGATGATGACAAAAAGCAGATCAACAGTTGTCTGGGAAAGAAGGACTGCAGAAGTTTCACAGGACAACGTACAAAAATACTATGCAGAAGCTGTCATATTATTTTTCCTGTGTCTGCCTGTTGAGTCTATAAGCAGTCACATAGTAGGTTGTATGAGAAAAAAAGTATATTAAAGATGTTTTATGTAAATTAAATGGAAAAATATACCAAGAGCATGAGTTTTACATGTATATGGGCTTCATGTTTAGACTCACTTTTTAAAGGTTTATTTTTAAGTGTGTGTGTTTATATGAGTATATGCCACATGTGTGCAAGTATTGGAAGAAGCCAAAAGAGGGTATCAGATGTCCTGGAACTGGAGTTACAAGTGGTTGTGAGCCACTCTTTGTGGGCACTGGGAACTGAACTTGTGTCCTCTGGAAGAACGGCAGTACTGAGACAACTCTCAAGCCTGAGACAACTCTTGATCCCTGAAGCTTACATTGAAATCTAGTCATCTCACTTGACCATCGCTATAGACTTGGTATTAGGTGGTCACCTGTGCTGTAGACGAATCGCAGTGCCAGAGCTCTTTCCCATTTACTCGTCATCACATAATTGGTGTTGAATGGAATTTCCCAAAATGGGTACAAGTGTTTGGCTGTCTTTTCCACATAACTTAAGCACAATAACATAAAGTAAGAGTTGGGGGCAAGAGGAAACTTTAAATTTAATTACAAATTCCAGATGGTGTCAGAAAAGTATTGTTACCACCACATCCTGACCCAAAACAAAATTGTGGTCTTTCTAGATATATACTAAAATTTCCACCTATACTCCATCCTAAAACTTGCCTGTTTTGTGTTTCGTTTTGTACCACAGTTTTAGTTTAATACAGCTATTTTAATACAGATTTTAGCTCAGAGTTAAGACAGTCGCTCAGGTCAGGCACTGGTAGCAAACGTCTTTAATCCCAACACTCGGGAGGCAGAGGCAGGCAGATCTCTGTGAGTTCAAGGCCAACCTGGTCTACAGAGCTAGTTCCAGGCAGGCTCCCAAAGCTACAGAGAAACTCTGTCTCGAAAAATGAGAGAGAGGGAGAGGGAGAGAGGGGGGAAGGGAGGGAGGGAGGGAGGGAGGGGAGATAGAGTGTGTCGCTCAGAAGAATGACAACCAGAAAGCAAGGGTATGGGCTTCTCAGAGAAAAATCCCAAGTATAAGCACCACCTCCTCAGTGGAGACCCATCGCCCATTGTATTTTGGATGGTACTCCAATAGCTAGCTAGAAAGAGGGAAAGTAAAGTTAAAAGTTCGACTCAGAAACGAAGGCTTAGCAGAGAAGATCTGCAAACAACTTTCCGATGATTATTCTGTGACAGAGTAAATCCAGTATAAACAATTCGTGCATTGCTTTCTCAAGTATATCCCAAAAAAAAAAAAAAAAAAAAAGCTTTTCGACAAAAGTTCCAAACTGCTATCTAACCTTGTTGCTGGCAACTGTGGAATCCGGTCCCTTCGTGCTACCATCTGCAATGCCACACAAATTCAGAGAACGGTGTCTCAGCTCTGTCATGTGTATTCCCTGGGATATGTGTGTGGTCGTGTGTGGTCCAAATGTATCAAACTGTACACTTTTTTTTTTTTAAGTCACCGTCCCTCGGCCAAGCAGTGGCACGCAGGTACTCTGGAAGCTAGAAAAAGAAGTTCTGAAGTTCGAGGGTGAGGCTACCCTATGTCAAACTCAGGATGAAAACATTCCACAGAAGTCCATCTTAAAAAAAAAAACACTGAAGTCCCTCGCTTCCCAGCCTCGCTTCTCTTCAAGCAAGCGTTCCTCAGTCAGAGACTCGCACTCCGCTGCTGTCCTCGCCAAGACAGCGAGACCCGGTCTCAAAAACACCAGAGAGAGGTTCGTTCACAGGTTTGAAGCTCCGGAAGGCCCCCTCCTGTCCACCTCCCGTCCTCACTCCTCAGCCTTGCGGGAGCCCACACTGGCCGCCGCCGGCGCGCGGTCCCCAGGCCCGGCCAGAGTAGTGGGATTCGAACCCGCCCGCAGCCCCCTCCCGGTTACCTGCCACCGGCTGGCCGCGCCGCGGACAGTTCAGCCACCGCGGCGGGATCTTGTTGTAAGCCATGTCGGCGCCGCACACCGCCACCTAGCCGACCGCTCTGGAGCAAGCGGCCCGAACCCCAGCGCCAGCTGCCCCACCCGGCTCTTCAGCGGCGCGCCACTTTCATTCAGGTTCGACTCCGAGGTTCCCGGCGAGCCCACAATGCATTGCGACTTCCGCCCCAAAGGGCCCGCCCCCTTCCTTCCGAGGTCAGGCGAAGAGGAAGCTCCGCCCAGGTGAGCCAGTGAAAGCTGCTGCGAAGTAGAAGGGCGGTTCCACCTGGCCCCGCCCCTCCAGCCCCGCCCCCTAATCCCAAGCTCCGGCCCCCACGCCTCTTTTGCCTTTGTGCGTACGCAAATGACAGGCGTCGTTTTTTAAAAATCTAAACAAGAGAAACTACTAAAATAGAAAGAATCCAAGTTTCTTTCCACCTGTAGGCTGATCTGCCACTTTCAGAGGATATGTTTTACAGGTGAAAGTGCTTTTCTGTTCATCGCAGCTCAGGTTTTGTGTCCTTGTTGGATCTGGGTTTGAAGTGGCACTTGAGAATCCTCCCTTGACTGGATCAGGAAGTCCTGAAAACCAGAGACTAGGTTATTCTTTTTCGGGAAGGAGTAAGGGGACATGATCCTGAGGACCCATTAAACATCAAAAATTAATTCCAGGAGCCTTAAGACTGCCATTTCTGAGGCAGGCGGTTTTGATGTGTTTTGTTTGTTTGATTTGATGGTTTTTAAGTTTTTTTTTTTCTCTATCTTTTTGGAAAGTCGGTCTGGAAGGAATCGCTAATTATGTGTAATTGACAGAGGTGGGAATTGACCACTTGGCTACCACTAGGTCAGTGTAGACCAGGAAGCCTGTGTTTCCCCCTTGAGATTTAAAACACCATATGGAAAGGTTTCGGCTTTATCATGGCCGTGGCCCATTAGGGACAAGCTGCTTCCTCCTAATAGCTTCAGTTGTCAACATAATACACCTAGGAAGAGGAAACCTCAGTTAAGGAATTGATTGGCTTGTGGCCACATCTGTTGTGCATTTTCTTGATTTCTAGTTGATGGGGAGGGGGGGATTGTCATTCCTGAACCAGTGGATCAGAGTTTCTCAACCTTCCTAATGCCTCGACCCTTTAATACAATTCATGTTGTGGTGACTTCCAACCATAAAACTATTTTCATTGCCACCTCATCACTGTAATTTTGCTACTGTTATGAACCATAATGTAAGTAATTTTGAGAATAGAGGTTTGTTACAGGCTTCATGATGCACTGGTTGAGAACCACTGGCCAGGCTGTCTAGGAAAGCTAGCCAGGGATGCCAGCCATTAAGCAGCATCCCTTCAACAGCTGTGATCAGTTCCTGCCTTCAGGTTCCCGGCTATCCTGAGTTCCTGCCCTTGTTTTCTTTCTTGATAGACCAGTAAGCCAAATAAACCCTTTCCTCCCCCAAGATGCTTTTAATCAGTGTTTTATTTACAGCAAAAAAAAAAAAAAAAAAAAAAAAAAACTAGAATACTCTTGCTCAAGTGAATAGAATCTAAATTCTACCTCTGGCTTTAGGTGAATAAAGATATATCATAATCTGTTCCAAAATCTATAATCTCTTTGTGCCATTGTTCCCTCCCTTTAGAGTTAATCCCACTGAGTCTGTCAGTCATGTGACCCCCCCAAGCTAATTTGCCTAAAGACATGCAGAGGAGATGGAAAAAATAATTATCTCCTTAATGAAGTAATGTACTTAAATGCATACCCCAAGTTCTTCCCCCAATGTAATTACTTACAGATTTTCACTAATACTGCTCTGCTTTCTGTGGTTTAATTTAAAAAGCAGATGATATGTTTCTGCCAACACAAAAGGACAGATCAGACCAGATTAAAAACAGATAAATGCATGTTTATTGGTTGTGGTCTCCAAGGCGAGTTCACCAGAGCCAGAGAAGCCATGTGCCCAGAAGAATTCAGGGAGGTTTTATAGACCTTAGGTAATATGCCAGCCAGGAGCTGGGACTATGCCCATATATGGTCAAAAGCTAGATTCCTTGGTGGGCTCTTGGACGCCATTCCTTTGTTCAGAGTTTTCTCTGCCCACACAGGGGTGGAGAAGGTAGGACAGATAGGGTTTTCCAGCTTGTATGAGGGGAAGCTTGTCCTTCTGTCTTTTTTTAAATATTGGCCAAAATCCTACAGTCTTGCCCTGACATTGTGGGCAATCTCATTCCCTCTGTGAAGCCCCCTCTTAGTAAGACAGGTTCCTCAGAACCTGCAATATTCCCTTCAACTTGAAGAATTTGCACCAGAAAGAAGGGGAGGCCCTTGAGCCTCAGCAGGTAAGCACAGTGTTAACTGAAAACAGGAACTTGGAAGCTTACTGAGAGCTGCTACCCAAAAGTATAAAAAGAGGTAAAGCTATTACTGAGAAGTGGAAAAGAGTCTCCACAAGCAAAACAGTGGGATAAAAAGAGAGTTACAGAGTTGCATGGGAGCTACATAGAAAGCTTCAGAGCTGTAGATTTTCTGAACCATTACCCATGTGTGGTAGGCTTTCTGTCCATGCAGCAGCTGCTTTTGAGTTACATTATGCCTGCTCCTTGTCAGTAACCCTCCCCCACACTCCTGTTAGTTAACCCCAATAAAAAGCCTCATTGGTTCACCAAGAAACTGGTATAGTCATTACTCTGTTGTGGGCTCCCCTTTTGAAGTGAATAGATGTGTGTGTTGTGTCTCACCATCAAATATCCATCACACAACACTCCATGATGCATGAAGGTGCTTGCCAGCCTCCATGACCTAACCTTAATGCTGCTGCTTTCTTAATCTTCTTCATGCTGTTCTCCAGCACCCTCCTCCCAGCAACCACTAGTGTTTACAGATTGCCTGCTTGGTTAGTTTTCTCTGAAAGGCTCCTTTAGCTACCTTCAGTGTCCATTTTGCTTGTCTGTTTTTAGTTTTGGGGTGGTGGTGGTTTGGGGTGGAGGAATGGGATTGGAGACAGGGTTTCTTTGGGTAATGCTCTGGCTGTCCTGGAGCTAACTCAGTAGATCAGGCTGGCCTCAAACTCACAGAGATCTGCCTGCCTCTGCCTCACAAATGCTGGGGCTAAAGTCATACACCACCACCACCCAGTGTCCAGTTTTAAACCCATGTTTGCATGGTTGTACTCAGCTCATTAAAGTCCTTTCGGTTAAATAAAGATCCAGCCATAAAATGGTCCCACCTACATTTGTAGGTCTTTCTACTCCAATTGACCCAATGTAGAAAGTCCCTCACAGTCCTGACTACAGGCCAACCTAATCTGTAGAATTGCTCCATGAGGGGCCCATCCCAAATGATTCTAGATTATATCAAGTTGACAAGACTACTAACCATACAGTGGCAAATTAACTGTAATGTAACAATTTGACTTTACAAGCACTGATGCTACAGTTGAACTGCAGGCAAGGCTGTAGAGATGGTTCGTCGGGTAAAACCATTTGGCACCCAAGTCTGACAGTAGACGAGGAGAGCTTACTCCAAAACTTGTCCTCAGACTTCCATATCTGTGCCATTTGCATGCCTACACTCAGATACTCATCATAGGCACAGACACCCTTGAAATAAATCCTTTTATTATAAGGAAATTCTGCTGGGTGTTTATGAATCCTAGAACTTGGAAGGCAGAGACAGACAGATCTCTTGAGTTTGAGGCCAGTCTAATCTACATAAAAAGTTCCAGACTAGCCAGGTCTACACAGTGACTGGAACCAAATATGAGTGACCATGGTCTAATTAGATTATTTAGGTTGCCCCAAATTCCATGTTCTAATGTGGTTAATAGTTTTTACAGTAACAGAACAAAGAAAGTCATAAATCAATGGATTTTTCAAATTCCTGGGTAGGTATCTCAGGTAGGCAGGTGTATTACTTTTCCAGTTGTTATGCTAAAATAGCCTGACAACAAGGCAGTTCCATTCCATGCCTGTAGCTTTCCTTGGTAGGTATGGTCCTAACATCGCCAATATCCTGGAGTCTCCATTGCAGTTGAGGATTAACCTTCACAGATTCTTATAGTGGCCTCTCAATGTCTGAGCCTATCACAAGTTACCTGACTTCAGCTGCACTCTGAAACTATGACAGGACTCCATGCCTATTGAGAGCTGGATCCAGCCAAGGCTTTCTCCAGAATGCCTATGACAGACAAAGGAACATAGTGCTAGGACCTTGCTCAGGAGCAGACTTGGTAAAGTCTGGATTGGGGCTGGGCCCAGAGTCTCCAAGGAGCTAACGTTTCAGTACCTGGGAACTTGACTTTTCCCCCTGAAGAGAGCTACCAGGCCCCAAAGTTCTGTGCTCAGCTTTTGATGCTGTTGAGATGTCCCGTGTTGCCCTTCATGCAATATTGCTTGATTAGCTTCATTCTGACTTTCTCCTATTTCTCTGCTAAAAACTGAATATAAGGAGTTGAATTTTTTAGTAAGTTGCTTGCAAGAGCCATCAGCTTATGTAAAATCTGCTAACCCCAAACCTTCCTGTCTTCTTTATCTTCTCATCTTTTGGTCCTCTCCCATTAAGTACCCTGTCACTGGAGAATGACCTGCTGGTCAAGGTCACATGGCCACCCCAATCTTATATCTTTCATGCTGCAAGAGTACCAACATAGGCAGTGCTGCCACCTTGGTTTGTGCCCTGGCCCCATAGGCCACATTATGTGCTGGCTCTGGGGAAACACATCATTGAGCAGAGGATCCTTCAACTTAGAATTTCTTTCTTAAGATGAATTCTGATCTTCATATGATGGAGCCTCTGATAAGTCAGGACAGCATCCTATTGTCCCAGTGCTGTGTGGGAGGTTTTACTTCCATGGTGTTATGTCTTCTCTCAGTATTCTTAATCTCTGCTTCTTTTATCCCACAGTACCAAGCACTTCCATATTCTAGCCACAGAACAATCCCAAGGCCTAAGAACCACATAGTAATGTGTATCGCATCAACAGCCTCATTTCTCAGCACCACTTTTCTACATTAGCTTTCTTTTCTTGTTGTTGTCATAAAATACCCTGACAGAAACAATTTTAAAGGAAAATATTTTATTTTGGCTCACAGCTCAGAGTTACAGTACATCTTTGCAGGGAAGTCACAGCATCAAGAGCTTGAAGCAGCTGGTCACACCGAATCCAGAGACCAGAAGCAAGGGTGAAGCATGCAG